ACTTTCGCTACAGGTGTCCGATTTCAGCCCATAATACCATTTCGGAAACGGGAGAGCGAGATCTACACATGTCACGGATTTGCCATGACGGCATGTGGCGGGGTCAAATTCAATCGTCTATGAAGTTTTCGGCCCTTTTCCGTCGGTGGGTGCGGACATTGCGTGAATGGCCCGAAAAGTAGAAAAATAGATTCGTTCAAGAAAAGAAGGGCTTTCCCTTTTTTTACAATATGAAAGATTGGTCCTTCCCGTCGACTGTTAGGAGTGACTATACAAGGTTGTCCAGAAGAAAGGTGTTATCAACAGTAGGAACATTCCAATGCTTAGCAACAAGCAACATTGGGTACCAGGAGAAAGACTTCGATACCACGAGAAAGAAAAGCTTCCGAACCTTCGCGCTTCCAATAAGTAATAAGTAGAGGAAAAAGACTTTGTTTTCATAGTCCCTTTGGCAGATTGAAAGGAGTCTCTTTTGCCTTGAATCTAGTATTTCCCATTGAACAAGAAAGGCAGATTCCCAAAAGAAGGTCCTAAGGTAGCAGGCAGCTTATCCTGCTTTTAGCCGACCTCTGGAACTTCTGAAACATCGATGCCAGTCCAGTAAAGCTAGTAAAGAATAAAAAGAAGAACTTGACTTTCGGATCAATCCACTTTCATCGAAAAAGACGGGGTAGAAGCCACTGGGTTAGTAGCTTTAGACGGGTTTAGTCGACGGGTTGGTTTCCGAGGACAGCTTTGTAGCTTGGAGGTTAGCGTTTAGTCGAGACAGCTTTTCTGCTGCTTAATCCCTTACGCTCTATTCTCCTTGCTTGTCCGTTACTCCTATCTGAATTTCCCCAAAGACTTCTATTTGTGTAATATGTTTTCGCGGATTCTTAAATTGAAGACCGAAATATCGTAAAAGAAGAAGTTCGAGTCTTCTTTCATGTTCTTTTGATTCTTTAAGAAGGAAAGGCTAGCGAGCCAATAAGCTGGCACCCAACGAACTTTTCGAAGCGAAGTGAAGTCATAGAGGACGTGAAAGTTCTAAAAATGGGCTAGCATATACTGCTGACAAGAGCCATTCTACCTTTCCCGGTTGCTTGACAAAAGCATTAATACATTGCGAAGAAGAGTACAAAATATCGACAGAAACTTGTTGTATAGCCCAGCACAACCAGACTCCTCCCGCATAGCCAATTGGATCAGCAATATAGAAGCCATCAAAACCCAACTTCTTCACCATCTTGTACCAGTATATGATGGGAATACCAAAAAAGACAGGACGGCTCATAGTCCGAACAACTAACTTTGTCTTGTCTGACTTTGGAAGAGCTTCTTTATCCCTTTTTACACGCGCTAGGCTTTATAGCGGACCTGCTGCTAAGGCTAGACCTTCGGACCTAACCAGGGCCTTATGGGACTTAAGAACCAATCAGCCTCTTTTAAGGCCCTCATACTCTACTGGCTGCCAAACTTCATCAATACAAATCTTTGGAACAAGAGGTTTATTCAAATTTTCCTCTTAACAGACCCGAGCAAACCTCCCCTTCGATGCAAATCTAGTGTTTTGGTCAACTTTCAAAGCCCTTCCCAATGTATTACCCATGGATAACAACATCCTATCATTATAGTACCTAATAGGCATACCAGGGAACTGAACCCATACAACAGTGGAATCAATACTAGCGATGCTTGGCCGAAACTCTG